GCGTGGAGCAGCCGAGGCCACAGCCCTTGGTCCTCACTAGAGGCCTGATGTCTTGTGCTGGCCCCAGACTGACCTCTAGATTTGCAGGCCACCGAACCCCTGGGCTGTGCGTGACCTTCCCTCCTGGCCAGGCCCCACTGGCCATCTGAGTGTCTAGGAAGTGCCCTGGCTCCCTGTACCTGCCCCCTTCCCAGCCTCCAGCAGCTGCCCGCCCCTGGCAGGGTGGCCCGAGAAGGTAAGTGTAAGGGCTGGAGGACCCTGGCACCGGGCTGTCCCCGCCAGCCCAGCCCAAAGCAGGAGCAACCCGACAGGTGCGCAGGCTTCCAGGCGAGGTGATGCGGGCTCGCCCGGGCCGCTCACCCACGCACTGTGCCTGGGCCAGCCTGGGCACATGTGTTCACACCACCACAGAGCTGAGAAGGGAGGAGCACGGAGGCCCGAGCCCTGGGGAGCATTATGGCTCTCTGTCTTTGTCCGGGTGGGGGACCCTGAGAGCATCCTTAAGACCCCCCAACTGGTCAGGCCTTGCTTGAGGACTTTCCAGGGGGCCTTAAAATAGCTGTGGGCCCAGCCCAGGGCTGGCACGCGGCGCATATGCGTGACAGGGCGTGTCCAGGGGGTCGGGCCTGTCTGCGCTGGCCCGGCCTCTGAGTTTGGCAGATTCTTGCTTGCTGGAGAGAGACAGCCAAGGCTGGTGCCCCACGAGGCACCCCCATGCCATGGCCACCCTGTGCCTGTTGCAAGTGGAGGCCAGATGTTTCCAGCTAGCCCCAGCCTTCTGCACTTCCCTGCAAACAGGCCTGTGTGGGAACGGGAGGGTCTCTCTGGGGCATAGGCTGAGTCAGAACAGTGTGTGCCCAGGTTGGCTTGGAACTCGCTGCAATTCTCCTGCCTCAGCTTTCTGGGATGCAGCACTAGCACCGTGCCTACCCTGTTCCTGTTCCAATAGCAGCTTCTAGTTGTTTTGCTTTTTGAGATGGAGTCCCAGGCTGGCCTCAAACTTCGGAAGCTCCTGTCGCCACAGCCAGAGTGTTGGGATCTCAGGCCTGCATCACTCCTGGCCTGCAAAGTGCTGGGGGTTGAACCCAGGGTCTGTGCAAGCCAGGAACCACTCTACTGTCTGAGCTACATCTCCATCCCTTTTAACAGATGGAAACAGGGTTTCTTGTATCCTTGGCTGGCATCACACTTGCCACAAAACCAACAGTGGTCTTGAACTCCCCACTCCCCAGCCTGCATCTCTCAAGTATGAGATGGACGTTCTTTTCTTTATGGAGGAAGTGTAGACAGCGCTGAGAATGTCTCTGCCTCAGTTTTTCCATCTGTAAATGGGAACATTAGGATAAGCGGTGTAACAGCGCACACCTTGCCCCTCCTAGTCTCCTGTATGGTGCTCTGGTCTCTTCATCCCTGAATATCCTGAGTGGACATGGATGTGTGTCTTCATAGCTGGCCATGGGGAAGAACTAAGGGTGGTGGCGTGGGCGTGAGAATTCTTGGGGAGGGAAGGACAACGCCATGCCGGGCATGGCTGAGTCACACTCTAGCGGCGCCTTGCCTCAGGCTGCTGGAGCTGGCGCCACCCTGGGTGTGGCTACTGAGCTGTGGCCCCGGGCAGAGCAGGGTTGGGTGGCCAGGATGGGCACAGGGGCTGGGGGAACAAATTTGAGATACCCCTTGTTACCTCCCTTTTGTCTTTAGAATTGCCTTCCAGGACTGGGTGTCATCCAGCCACAAGTACACTTTCAGGGCTCAGGAACCGTAAGCCTTGGGCCTGGGAATGATAATTATTAACCTTATTTAACAAAAGAACTTTTTTGAGGCATGGCCCCATGTAGTCAGTCTATGCTGGCATGGAACTGGATAAGTAGTCAAGGCTGGCCTTGAACCCTGGTCCTTCTGCCTCCACCTCTTGAGTGCTAGGCTTACCTGTGTGCAACACTATGCAGGATTTGTGCTTAGGATGGAATCCACTGACCCTGTGCTTCCTGTAAAGTAGGCAAGCACTCCACCCCAGTCTGTTTTGGGGTTTGAGACAGTCATATTTCATAGCCTACAATGGTCTTGAACACATTGCAATCCTCCTGCTTCAGCCTTCTGAATGGTGGAATGACAGACATGCCTCACGGTGCCTGGCTAGTTCCTGGAAGTTTTGGAGTGTTAAGGGAGTGAGCCAGAGCCTTCCAGTTGAGTGTTGGAGGTCCCTGCTTCCATCTCCTGTCCCAGGCTAGGCCAGGGCCTGGGATGAACTTCACTCTGTGGACTCCAATTGGCTTTAGGGGAACGCAAGAATTGGGGATGTGACTCAGTGGTAGAGCACTAGCCCAGCGCGTGCCAGGCACTGGGTCCGTCTCCAGCACCGCAAAAGGAATTTTAAGAAATGGAGTAGGGGATTTGGTTGGACTGTGTGGCTGGCGGGCAGCGAGGGTGGGACGTGGCTG